GTCGCAGGGAGAAGCCCAGAATGGGCGTAGACATAAAACAGACCACAACAACCCCCTACCCCCCGCTAAAAACCACCCACGGTAGACTCACAGGTTTCCACGACGTTTTGCGGAAGCGGAGAGCCCAGGAGCGCGCTCCCTCCCCGCCTCCCACTCCTGCCCTCGCCGCCAGCTCCTACATTTTTCTCAATGGTCCGTATTACATCTCAACACGTATAAGGGCCAAACGACATCAGCCTTTCGCAGAAATCCACGTTCGCAGAGATGCATCGGCCGGCCTATTGGAGGCCTTGGGGTGACGGTGGACAGAGGGACGTCTAGAGACAGACAGACTACACAGATGGACACTTACCTTACAGCCGCATGGGAGGTTAGGAAAAAAAAAAAATCAAATTATCCTTCAAAATTCCAAGTGGCCAGCCAGCCTAAAAGAAATCAAGAGTATTGAGTTATAAACCTCGCGGTCTCCACCTTTCCATAAAAAGTCAAACGCAACGAAAAATATAATGTTAAGAACAGAAAATGAAGAAAGTAGCTGGCGCTGGAAACGCGCGGGGCCCCTCTGCGATACGTACAAAAGTAGACGCGGTGAGGGCCGCTCGGGCGGTTTTTATTTTTAATAACAGTGGAGGCTGAGTTGGAGCTGAGGTCGGCTCTGCTCTCAAGGAGATTTGCTGAGAAAGCGCCTCTCTGGCAACTTTTTTGACGCAAACTCTCCAACCAATGGCAGGGAGGGAATGATTGACACATCTAAGCCAGAGGGAAAATAATACAAACACACAACAGGGGGAGGAAAACAGGCCGCTGCTGCACGGGGGGACGAGCAGGCAACAAATCCAGGCCTCCGACATTACCAGAATGTTCTTGAAAGACAGTGGGCTCGCCTAAAATATACATCATGGGCCGGAGCAAGTGAACGAACTGTATAATTAAAATGATGGACAGGAGGCCTCTCCTAACCTTCTCTTCCTCTCCCTGTCCTCCCTCCCCCCCCTTTTGTTTTGTTTTGTTTTTGTTTTAGGGAAGGGGAGGAAGGAAACCCATCCAATGTACGATGGGAAGATAAAATATTTAAGTAAAGCCAGGAGAGAGTGCGGGTGGTAAGGCCTAACTGCGGTATCGGCTTCTGCGTTTAGCAATATGTGTGGCTCAGATGCAGAAAGCAAGTCAGACTGAAGCTTAAAAACACGCCTGTGCGTTCTCCAACAGGGTCAGACCAGGCCGGGGTAGAGGAAGGAGGCCTGCGAGTGGGGCGTAGGCGTGTAGGCAAGAGGCAGACAGACAGACAAGTCCAAGAACAAACTATTTTCAAAAGCTCGGTGTCTCTCCCCCTCCTGACGCCTTCGTAAACACCCCCGGGCCCCCAAGCGGGAGACTCGGGCTCCCGGGCTCCTCCAGGGTTTTTGGAGTTTTAAGAAGCCTGAGGCGGGCTACACAGAACAAGAACCCCGAGTCTACCCCCAGGGCCGATTTGGGGAGACCCAAGGAGCCGGGTCCGGACGCGGCTGTGTGAGAGCGGGGTCTGCCGGATGCCCGGGCCC